CTGTAATATGAAAATATGATACGAAAATACTTGACAGTCAAAAAAATTTGCTAGAATTTTTATTTAGGTGAATAAATAATATTTACTATTTAAACTTATTCAACTATACTACTTAATCTTAAAAAGTTCTAACTAAATTTTTGTCAAAGTTTACCGAGAATAGCATTACTCAATTTGATAACATGATGTCAGTAGACAGTAGTGCTATTTTGGTCCAAAGGAGTTGGTTGGTTAAATGTTATATCATGGAGGTAGATATATCCCAAAGTTCAACTCTGGTGAAATGGAGACGATGCTGCTTCATATCGTGTAGTTCATAATTTTAAAATGGAATATATATATATATATATATATATATTTGGCTATGAAACAAAATGATTTTTAAAATCATGATTGTTTGAAGTTCTTTTTAAGCCACAGACGATAATATATACTTTAATTCACATGAATGGTTATTGGATAGCTGCTTGCAAATTGCTCATAATTCATAATATATACAAGTTAAGTAATGTATTAAAATTCACTTCACTCAAACATAAAAGTATAGGGATCAATTTGCTTTATGCTTATTGTGGTGGATTACTTCTTAAGTCATTGATTGTACCTTTGGAATATTTAAGTGTGACAAAATCTTACATTGGTTGATAATGAGCTAGTCTATATAAGTGGAAAGATTCGTGAATCCAATGCTGTAAGACAATGTTAATAAAATCGGACCGGTCCGATCGGGTCGACCCGGGAACCGGTATGGGTGAAGCAATGGATCAGCCATGCATCAGAATTGGTGTGACCCGGTCCGGTCTCAAAAAATTTAAAAAAAAAAATCATAATGGATATATTTGTGTATTTTTTGCTTATTGACTTACATAGGTTATGTACCAACAACACAATATTATCTTAATTATGCACTATGCGGAAAATTTTGATTTGATTTATAGCTAGAGATGTCGTTTACTAAACCTGAAACCCCGTATCATGATCATTATATTTTTGTTTGATCATTTATTGGATAATAATGTGTGATTTATTATTTTTTATATTAAAATATTTGAAATTTTTATCAATTTTTTTAGATATTTGAGTATGTTTATAATTTTTTAATATAAATTAGAGTAAACACCTTTTTTGGTCCCTGGCAATATCTACGAAATCTTTTTTAGTCCCTGGCAATAAAAAAGGACCAAATTGGTCCCTAACAGTATGTAAAAAGGGCCACGTTAGTGACGGAGGAGTTGACATAAGGACTAGCGTGACCCTTTTTTCATAATTTTAGGGACCAATTTGATCTTTTTTTATTGCCAGGGACTAAAAAAGATTTCGTAGATATTGCGAGGGACCAAAAAAGGTGTTTACTCTATAAATTATAGAATTCATATAATAACCGGGTCTTGCGGTTCAACCAATGACCCACTAGTTGAACCGTGACCCAGTACCTTGACCAGGTCAATGACCGGACCGATTTTAATAACATCGCTTTAAGGTTTCATATTGAGATATAATGTTGGACCTACTTGGTATGTGAGATTTTACACTTGAGAACAGAATTATTGGGATATTCAAGTGTAATGAAGTCTCACTTTAATTAGTAATGAGCTGGTCCATATAAGTGGAAGGATTCGTAGACACGATACTTTAAAGTTTTGGGGTTATACATGATATCAGACTTTGATGTGATTGGTTTAGTTTATTAATCCATTGGTAGTGGTCTTCCAAATTGGACTTTCGAGATGTATTTGGAGATGGTGGTTTGTGTTTGGCTTTGGCCTTTAACCTTGTGAAACTATGACTTGCTAGATGTGATAATAAGAAGTTTTATATCCATTATCTACGCCAGATTCCAGTTGCAGCAATATGGAGTTCCATCCAAACACTCAACAAAATTAAAAGAAAAAGCAGCAGCCTACAAGACACTGCTGCAATTGTTGCTTCTGCTGTATTTCTGGCTATTCAGAAAGGTGAGAGCGATTAGTCATGAGCTCTGAACAAGGGCTTCTGTTATGAACCTGTGGACCATTTATTGAACCATAATAGCACTCAGTTATTTGTCAGCCAGTTTTTTCAGAACCCTCTTGATCATATACCCGTCACTGCTTGTTTAGAGTCTCTTAAAATTCCAAGCCCTTTTCATTTTTCTTTCAGATTTTTCTTTGCCTCTCCACCATGTCCCTCTCTCTGCGTGTATCACTCTCTCTGGTACAAGTAGCAAGGTGCTCCTGGACGGATAATAACACACTAGAAGTCTGGATTCTCAGGAACCATCATCTCCAACAGTTAAAAGAATAATCTTTTGCTTTCTCATTTCAGAAAGAACTTGGTTTTTTGTCTTACTTCATCTTTATCCTTGTGCTTATATTCTTCTTTTGCTTCTTACCCTTTTCACTGTATTTTCATCTATTTCTTGAATTTGAGTCATGAAGCATGGATGATAAAATATTTAGTACTTTCCTATTTACTCTTAGTTTTTTTTTTTTTTTTTCCTTTTTAACATTTAACTAGCTTTCAGCGAACAAATTTTAAGCTTCTCTTAGTGTATAGATGGAGTAATGCTTCAATGACTGAACTAGTTAAATTTGAAGTTTCAGGTTTACTAGTGCATATCCAGGTCTTGGAGATCTTAATAGACACAAACCCGGTTGTCTTAATTAGGGTTTTTAATTTCATGTCATGTATATTTGTGAAATGGAGATGAAACAGTAGAATTAATTCCCTAATTTCCTTATATGGAACATACACTTCTTTTATCTTGAATAAACAAACCAAAAAAATATGCAAACATGGCATGTTTCAATGTATATTAGTCTAGTTTTCTTTTTCTTTTTCTTTTTCTCATAATATTTAACGCTACAAATTATGCAAACATAGCATGCTTCAATGTTTTGAGTATTCTAAAACTCCATTAATTAATCACCAGAGTATTCTAAAACTCCAGTAATTAATCACCATCATCTTGTTTTTTTTAACCAACCATTAAGCTTGATTATTATTATTATTATTTTGATACATAGCTTGATTAAATTTTCTATATAAACATATATGAAGGGAAAGGCCATCAATTTTCTCACTTTCTGCATGTTTGTCAATGTTTAACTGAATCCACCTTAAACAAAAACAATGAAGAAAACTTTTAATGATAATTTTCTTCAGTTACCCCTTGAAAATAGGGGTTCTATGAGTGCAATATTAGGGTTTTGATGTTGGTAAGCATCTACATATCCAGCTCATTATTGGTGAAGAGGTGAAGGCTAAACCATTTCCAAATTGTCTTTGTCAAATGAAGAAGAGAAGAAAACTTGCGTACGTTTCTGTATCTAGGTTACACATGATTAATTGACTTTCTTTTGAAGAAAGCATGGGATTAATCAATACACTTGTGGGGTATGTCAGATTCTTCTAGCTAGCTTCTCATGAGTGAAAATCACAACCATGCATATATCTCTGCAATAATAAAACTGTGTGGTCCTAAGTGAGTGAGTGTTGAAAAAGATAATAAAAATTGGTCCCTCATCTAAATGTAGCTTTCTCTTGTCCGAAGTAGTTATCATACACAAAGACATGACAATACTCTTAAGACTTGACACCCACAACTTTTGAATCTCACTAAATGACTTATCTAAAGTGAATTTCTTCTCTGTTTCCTCTCCATGTGATGCCTTCCCGTACTTTTGTTTTCTTTCACCCTTTCTTTTCTTTTATATCTTTGCTTTCCTTTTTATCTTTTGTTGTCTTATTCCAAAGAGTAAAGTATGTATGTGAATTGCATAAGTAATATTTTCCTAACATAGTATTATGAAAAACACTATAGCTTGCCAAATAGGGGAAAACAGTGCAAGTGTTTCATTATGTTACCAGTTGTTTCTCAAATTTTATTTTTTTATTGATAAATGTTTAATGCTCATATCTTTTGAAAGTTTTCAAGATCGATAGCCTAGGAATATGTTCCACAAAACCTCTTGGAGACAATATTAATTGGGAGATAGAAATAAATTGATATCATGCACTAATTTAACAAGGCTTTGCTCTTAATAAGAACAACGTTTTCCTTGATGCTATTTTATCTTGCTTCTGTATATGGCCATATGATTCGTTTCCGTAACAAAAATCTTTTGTAGTTGTCGATAAAGCGTGACTAGCCGCTTTTTTGAAGCATGTAACAAAATGGTCCATGAGGTTATTAATTGCGTTCATTTGTAACAAGAAACAAATTTGTTTCCGTGGCGAGCTCTTTACCGCTTTGTGCGCTGACCTAGGGCGAGGGATTAGTCTCATGGTTATCGACTGTGTGGATACCCGGATGTAATCCAAAAAAAAAACAAATTTGTATCAAAAAAAAAAATTGCACTTTTTCTTTTCGCATGTTTAAATTATAATCTTATACACTATTTTTTAGCATAGACAATTGTTTGTATAAGCTTTCACACACACTAAGACCTCATGTATAGAAATTAGAGTTGTTCCGGATGCATATAACTAGTTCTATTTTAGAAAATGAGAGTTCAAGCCAATCCTAATTAGAAATATGAATCATATATAATGAATCTTATCCAATCTAGAGTTTGAATCTTATCCAAACTCCCACATCTTCAAGTAAACTTTTTTTATAAATAAAGAATAAAACTTTACGAGTATATATTTTTTGAACCTTGCTAGTCTCCTTTATTGTGTCACTATGCACACACACCACCAGGCTTTAAGTTTTCTCTTCATGTATAATAATCCGTCGGCCCTTGCGACGGTCTCTTTTATAAACTCTGCTAATTTACAAATCAATCCAATTCTAACTACGATGCTCTTGAATTAAGCAAGAGCAAAGCTGAAAATATAATTAACTATCATAAAGTAGTTTACTTTTCCATTGAACATGAGCAAAGCTGAAAATATATATAATTAACTATGATAAAGTTGTTAATTTACTTTTCCGAATGTTGTGGCAAGGAAATGAGAACAATATGCCTAAAAGTATCAAGCCTAACTAAACTCCCCTAACTACTATCATCAATGAAATCATTGTCCATCATGCTTGACCAATTGGGTTAAATCCCACGTGGCCTTCTATGTGCCTTTGCTTTATCTTTCAGTGCGGCGTGGTCGGTTCCATTCCCGCATCTTCCTTTTCCAAGCTGCGGACTTAGCGTCTTCACCAAATTTTATTCTTTGCTATCAAAGCAAAGCCAAGTTTGGAACCTCGTTATATACTATAGTTCTACCTCAGCATCAAAAGCAAGGTGCACACTTCGTCCTTCTCTCTTATTTGCATGATATCAAACAGTGGTATGTATTATTCATGCGTGTTTTTGCTAGATATAATATACTGTGTCTTTTTAACTACAACTAGGGTTTACATATATAAGCCTCTTCAATTTATGTGAAGCTTGTTCTAATATTATATGTCTGTGGTAGCTAACTACATAATAGTCCTTGCACCCCATTAATTTCTTTGACTAATTAGGTCTTTTTCTTTCACTGAACCTAGATTTTAATTGCAGCAAACTTTTTTTTTTTTTTTTTCATATAATCTGATATAGATATGTAGCCATGTAGGCATTTTTTTTTTTCTATGATGCAGGAGTTATTATTTATTCCATTTTTTATTATTAGTTAATGATTTTTCCATTATTATTCTAGCTTCTATAATCCCCTCAAAATCATAATCGAATTGAGTAAGATTCATTATGTAATAATGTCCATTTTGACATTTGTTCTTCATCATATACACTCTACCCTGATGAGTAGCGACCTAGCTAGTTTGCTATCTTTGAGAATTATTATTATTTTTTTTTTGGATATTATTTTTGACTCTTCTGAAATGATTTATTTTAGAATATTTTAACCCTTGATAAATCAAAAATAAAATCAATTATGAATTTGTTAGAATACACCTTGATATTCTTATTGATGGTGGAGATTTCTAACTCTTTCCTCTAAATTGAATCTATAAGTTAAAATGAGTCAAATCCATTTAAGAAGGAACAATTTGATTTTTGTGTTTTTATTTTTACCTCATAATCTATTTTGAATTGAACAGAGCTTTGGCTTTAAATAAATTTCATTTTCCATCCATTTTCTTTCATTTTTCTCAATCTTGATTTCATAGTTTTCTGAAGCAGATACTAGGAGTTTCATTGTTAAAGGTGGAAGAGAAGTGCTACCAACAAAAAGCCAAAAGAAAACATTCAACACTGGAAAACAAACAACAACAATGAGAGAAATAAGATGATTAATAGTCCAAAAGAAGCAGAATTTCCTTTGAAACTGGAAGGTCTTTCAAGTGAACATCATGAAAAAGCAAAGGCTTCATCATCAAGTTCATCACAATGGCTAAAACTGAAGGATCCAAGGATAGTGCGTGTATCAAGAGCCTTTGGAGGAAAAGACAGGCATAGCAAGGTATGCACAATAAGAGGACTAAGAGATAGGAGGGTAAGGCTTTCTGTTCCCACAGCCATTCACCTTTATGATCTTCAAGATAGGCTAGGGCTCAATCAACCAAGCAAAGTTGTTGATTGGTTACTTAATGCAGCTAAGCATGAAATTGATGAACTACCACCTTTGCCAATACCTCCAGGGAACTTCACTTTCGGTTATCCATCTTTTGGTACTAATTCTAATGAAGTTAGCACCACCCCAAGTGAAGGTTCATGCCAAAATACTATCTGGAAGTCAAAACCTAAAGAAGTTTCAAGAGAAATGGTTACTGATAAACAAAGTTGGATAAGAAGAAATGAAGAGGATGATAAACAAGGAAGCAATAATGATTGTCTTGGTTCACATGTTATGCCAAATAATTATCTTTTACCAAAAGCAAATCATCCTTCTTTCTTAGGCTTGTTCAACACTATGCCACTTGGTTACCATTGGGAGCCTAACTCAGCTGAAGTTCCTCATTTGGCAAACCATGGATTTGTAAACCAAACAGATATACACAACATTAATGGTGTGCCTTTCCCATCAACATTGTCTTTATCAACTGGGAGTACTTCTCAGATATACACAGCAACACAGTCATATTTTCCTTCACAGGTTGCAGCAATTGAGATGGATCCAAGACAAATTAATCACTATCAGATGCTGAGTTCAAGTTCTCAAAATCTCTTGACTAATTCTCTCAATCCATCTCAACATCTCATGAATCAATCAGGGAAACACTTCAACTTGGGTAGGATGATGACTCCTAAACTTTTCCATTCACCAAACAGCAGTGAAAGCCATTCCCATAAAGATCAGGATTTTCCTTCCAAGTGATCATACACAAATAATACAAAGGTTATTATCTAAATTCTCCTCCTCACAAAACATGCATGGATCATGAGGACTGTGAGAAGAGTTCACTAGTTACAATGATATTGTACGTTGTGGGGTTTGAATAATCATTCAGTTTTTGTTAATTCATGTTTGATTTTATGCTTTTTCCTGCTTTTATAGGTATAAACCTTGAATTTTCCATTCAGTATGAATCTATATGCCATGCAAAGTGCTACAAAGAATGCCATGAATCTATCCGGATGTTGGAATTAAATTTATATTTTGATAGTGCCTCTGGGATTTATTTGCTGAACATCTTATGTGTTTGAATAAGAAAGGATTCTCTTCTACTTAAGTGCCATATGCTGTGTCTTGCTTTTTTTTTAAGAATTTTTTTTTTTTGTTTCAATCTGTAATTGTGTTTGTTTTTATGAGAGGAAATATAGCAAAAGGAAGTGTATCCATTTTCAACCTCATGCACACTCATGAAATAGTCTTTCAAAATTGGGGTTATCCCTAACAATATCTAAAAATATAGGGTGAGAGATTTTCTATTAGGAGAGTCTAAAAATCTAACTTTAGGTAGAATGACCTCTTGAATGGACATTTAAAGGGTAGCCCATGGACCAAGATTGTGAGGTTGGTCCAAGACACGATGTTTGGTAGATGAAATATTTCTTTTATCGGGAAAAATGATTTTTTAAAATTTGGTAGGAAATTTTTTTTTCCGAGTAAGTTACGAAAATGTGTTTAGTTGGCCAAAATTTTTCAGCGAAAATTGAATTAATTTTACTGATGTTATGTTTGGTTGATTGTAAAATATTAATGAGAATCTGAACCGAAATGACAAAATTACTCATTTTTACACATCTGCTGATATATTGTAAAACAACATTTTTGTCTCAAAAAGTAAAAATGTGTTTTCCAATTTGTGGAAAAAAAATAATACCGTGAATGGGATGAAAATATTTTTTTTTCATGTGTAATTAAAAACTGGAATGATGGAAAAAAAAAAATATCCTAGAATTTTTTTTACTTTTACTTATATCAAACATAGTAACAAAAAATTCCCCACCCCACTTTCCCAAACTTATACCAAACACCCATAATCATTTTATAAGGTAGGGAAACCTTAACACAATATAGTTCATAAAACCTAACCAGTCAAACTATATAATATAATTTGATTTTAGTATCAGTCATTCTGTACCCTCTTCAGTGAATGAGTACAAGGAGGAGAATTTTTTTTTTTTTTTTTTTTTTGTAAACAGGAGAGACCTAAAACAGAAAGAAAAATGACAAACTGAAAAATTATGGTAGGCATTTTAAGGAAAGCTACCAACCACATTTGATTCAACGATGAAAATTTTCATCTGTACAAGAAAAGCAATACTATATGAATTAAATGAAACTTTACTGAATTTGATTTTCAAAAAAAAAAAATGTTATTTCTTAATTGTAGCAAATGGGAAGCCCTTGCTAATCAAATTAACTACGAGCTTGCAATGTGTTTTGATGTAAAATTTTAAAAGTTTAGGTGGAGTTAAATGTTGGTATATCTCAATATGCCGGAGTAGCATATATATATATATATATGGGAAAAAAGTATCTAATGTTACTTTAGATAAATTTGTCTAATATTCATCTAAACAACGTCGTTTTGGGGCTGAAAAATTAAAAAATTAGAATGACAAAGACTATTATAACCTTGAAATAAATTAAAATTACAAAAATACAATGATTTCCGCCCCAAAACGACGTCGTTTCAATGAACATTAGATAAAGTTATCTAAAGTAACTTTAGAAAAAACAAACCCTATATATATATATATGGCTTATATAAGTGTCAAGTCACTGGATATAAGTTTTTATCCAGTCACTAAATCATAACCGTACAAAGGTAGATCAATGGTAATAAAGAAAGAGAGAGAAAATGACTCATAACCATACAAATGTGAATCAATTACTATAAGAAAATAAATAAACAAAATGACGTAGTTTAATCATGACTTGATCATCCAGTGACATAACAAATAATAATTCCTATATATACATACATATATATATATATATATATATATATATATAGGGCTTATCGTTTCTCAAGCTGCTTGATACAATGTTATCTCCGGCTATTAAATCATAACCGTACAAAGATGGATCAATGGTGATAAAGGAAGAGAGAGAAAAAGGAATCATAACCATTCAAAGGTGAATCAATTAATATAAGGAAATAAATAAACAAAACGACGTAGTTTTGGGATGGCCGGAGATAAACTTATTTCAAGCAGCTTGAGAAATGTTTTTCCCATATATATATATATATATATATATATATATATATATATATATATATATATGGAGTATGAGTTTTGTTTAAGTTGAAAATATTTTTAACGATATTAACTAGGCTTTTTGACCATTTTGTCCCTCATTAATTAATTAATAACCAATTTGCCCATCTCCCAGAACTATCCACCATCCTGCCCCCTTTAGTCGATTAAGGTGAAGTTTTAGTCGACTACATTGTAAAAATACAGGAAATATGAACCCAAAAATTTAATCGACTACAAATCCATCTTGATTGATTAAATTTCGGGGAGATTTAATCGACTAAAATGATATTTAGTCGATTAAATTTTGCTGAAAACCCTATATGCAGCCCTTTCTCGGTCTCATTTGTTATATATTTTCATTTTGTTACCCACTTTATCTCTTGTAGTCGATTAAACCAGTATAGGTTGATCGATTAAATTATTGGTTTTGGCACCCCATTCTGTTTTCCACGGATTTAATCGACTAAAACTTCACCTTAATCGACTAAATTTAATCGATTAAGGTGGGTAACAAAACGAAAATATAACAAATGAGACCGAGAAAGGGCTACATATAGGGTTTTCAGCGAAATTTAATCGACTAAATATCATTTTAGTCGATTACATCTCTCCGAAATTTAATCGATCAAGATGGATTTGTAGTCGATTAAGTTTCGGGGTTCATATTTCCTGTATTTTTACAATGTAGTCGACTAAAACTTCACATTAATCGACTAAAGGGGGCAGGATGGTGGATAGTTTTGGGGGAAGGGCAAATTGGTTATTAATTAATGAGAGACAAAAAGGTCAAAAAGCCATATTATGTTTTTATAAATTTTATATCACTTATGGAACACTTACAAAAACCCAAAAGTTAATACTTAAAATATATATGATAACAATATGATCGTTAATCTTATTTATATCAGATATGTGAATCATTAGATACAAACAACTCAATAGCTAGCAAAGATTTGTACACCGATGTAAAATAGGAACACGCTCATTAATTAATTATTAATTTTTAATAAATCATAACTTACACTGATCATATATATATATATATATATATATATATATATATATATATATATAATTCAACAAATGACTCACTGATTAAATCGGTAACTCAATTTAATCTATCATTTCGACGAGTCAGTCACCGTTCGAGTGTAATAAAAATAGAATAAAAATAATACTGTGTGCTGCATTTATTTCTAAAGTAAAATATAAAATATTACAATTATTAATAATTCATAGTGTTATTAAACACATCTCACAAGTGTATATATATATATATATATATATATATATATATATATATATATATATATTTTGACGCTAGTGTAAAACTAATCAATCTTATTTTCCATTTCAGCCATTGATTTTCATTCATCTAATCGTTGTAGTTTATTAAGTTATACCAATTAATTAATTATTAATTTTAATTAAATTACAGTTATTAGATGGATAAAAATCAACAGCTGAGATAGGGAGTAAGTCTTCTTAGTCTTACACTAGATTCTAAAAAATCCTCCCCCTCTATATATAATTTTTATTTCAAACAAAGCTAAACTAGTTTTATTTATATTCCTAAACAATATCACAGAAATAGTCGTTTTTAAATTTTGATGGCTAGGAAAACCTTAATTTCGACGACTGTTAATTTAGTTAACTTCTAATACTCAGCCTTCATCATATTTTAGTTGCTTTATTAAAATTATGTTACTCCATATAATAAAATGGGACAGGATCCGTTTACAAACTTTTTTTGCAATTACACTAATGTAGGACCGGTCGTACACTGTGTGGTTAATGTAGGACCGGTCCTACATAATGTAGTTTGTAAACAAAAAAGTTTGTAAATATAACATGCCCCTAATAAAATAACTTAACCTCTATTAAAATTTAAAAATAAAATAAAATTATGACTTATGATAATAAAATTTTTGAATAAATAAAAAAGAGCACCAAACGGGTGTTACATTAATATATTTTTATTTTTTCTTTGACAAGGACGATATGTAATAATATATATATATATATATATATATATTTTTTTTTTTGCTCAAAAAATGTATTTTTCTAATTTAGCTAAAATATAATGCGCTTATGGTTGTTATATATTTAAAAAATTTAGAAAATAACTATAGAAATATCAAACAAATATAAATGAAAGAAATGAAAGTTAATAAAAAAAACAAGTGAAGCGATAAATTAAAATAGTTTTAAAATAAAATAAAAAATTCATGTGTCATTGCAGTGGAAGAACTTTTATATAGAATATATATAGATAGATAGGTTGAGTTGTCATGGTTAATTGGGCGTTAGTTCAAAAATTTGACTAAGTTGTCGATCAGCACAATCAAATCGAATAGGATATATACAAAAAGCTTACCATGCATCTCATTGGAATTAGAGATGGCAAAGTAGGCGGCACTGGCCATCAATTCGTTAAAAATTAAGTCAGTCTGTCCCGTCCTACTTTTAAAAGTGAGCTGAAAAACATAGTCTGTTCCGCTCCGTTTGGTGGGTTGGGCGGGTTGGCCCGTCAGTCTGAGCCTATTTTACACTGACCCACCTCGACCTATCTATGCCCGCCATCAACCTGCCAAAAAATGAGCCTGCCCCGCCCAGCTTTTGGGATGTGTTGAAAAACTCAGCCCGCCCCGCCCCGTCCCGTTTAGTCGGTGGGGTGGGTTGGCCGCCGAGCTGAGCCTGTTTTGCCGTCTCTAATTGGAATAAACATAACTTTGGAATAATTTTAAAAAGAATGCATATAATAGAAAAATGAGGTAGATTATATTTATAAATTTTTTGTTTATAAATTTTTATAAACTCTATGTACTATTATTATGAGTACTATATGCTCAAATAATATGTATTACTTATGATATATAACGTAATTTATAAAAATTTATAAATAAAAAATTTATAAATATATAACCACACTTTATAAAGATTCAACAAGAAGAGGTTTGCATTAATGCGTAACAAGAAGAGGTTTGTTTTGTTTAAAAATTATCGGCT